AGAGGAACCTAAAGTCCATGTGGTCACAAAAAGTCAGGCATGACTGAGCAACTGAGCACCTATGCATGCACGTACCATCTATGAATGCAGACTAAGAATATATGCCCTAGGGGATCTGGTTTTATCAACCTGGTTTTATGAAGAATATCTTTTAACTGAAAAAAAATACCTGTTAATATATATAATTTTCCACTAATGTATTATTTGAAATTCTATTTTATGAAAGAGTAGAGTCTGTAAGTTACAGCTCATGTGCTTATGTTTAGTAAATCCCAGGAAAGAACAGAATCATAAATGGAGAAATTATAGACAATCACTGGGTAAAGATAGCTATATTCCCAAGGAGGTGACAGTATTATGCTGCTTTACTTTGAGAAATAAAAACTTTTTATTTTAACAGAAGTCTTCAAAATGAAAATATCTGAGCTAATTATTTTTCTTCTTCTCCATTTTCAAGCATATACCTTTCTATTACCTAATATGTCACTAGTGTCATAAAAATGAAGGAGAAGCTTACATGTCACACACATTTGTAGGGAAGGCTTGTGGTAATCAGGGCCATTGATTGCAGTGATATTTCTGAATATTTTCTTATATCTTGTTCATCAGCATCTCTCTCTTGCATTCCACTCTTAAACATACAAACAGATTCTTTTCACCCTATTTTCAAAATTTTCCCTACAGCCAATATGCCTGTCAATATCCTATCCTGGGTCCCTTCTTCCTTGGTATAATCAAGCTCTGTCATCTCCTTGTGAACTGACTTAGGCTGGAATAGACCAATTTTGATCACCAGAGTAAGGCAGAATTGGACCAAACTATATCTCCCAAGTAAACGTGTATGTCCATCTCCAGAGACCCCTCTCCATCAAGACTTACTCTGTGGGACTTGCCTGGTGGTCCAGTGGTTAAGACTCTGTGTTCCCACTCCCCATGCAGGGTGCACTGGCTTTGATCCCTGGTCAGGGAACTAAGATCCTCAAGCTGCTCAATGTGGGGGAGAAAAAAAGACAATTGGTTTTTGTTCATCAAGACAAGATTTGTACTTTGGAATCAAATTAGGGCTCAATCATGGTGTTCCCATTCACTGGTTGTGTGACCTTTGATGAGAGCCCTCAAATTTTGGGGTCACTTTATCTGAAAAATGGGGCCAGTAGTACCTACCTCATAGAGAAACTGTGAGACCCCCATGACACTACAAGGACACAGAAGGAGCTGACACCCATCCTGCCCATGCGTCTACCAGTCTTCTTGCCAAACTGGAGAACATGGACAGGGAAGGGGCACAATAGAGTTTCAACATGAAATCTTCCAATGTACATGTTTACAGCTCACTATTTTCACTATTGCCTATAACCTGACATCTGTCACAGAGATATTGATCGGCACCTGTAAAGAGTCACACGGCTCTGAAGAATCTGCCTCAAGTCTATGGCATCTGAGAGGAGAATTTTCCAAAAGCTTGAAATATAAACCTTCTGCAGAACCACTTCTAACTCCCAGTTTATCTTTACAACTCCCTCCCCTATTCAGTTCTAACAAGCATTCCCAGAGCACCTACTATTTGCCAGGAATTGTGCTAAATTCTGGGAATTAAGAGGTGAAGAAGGAGTAAAATTTGTCTTCAGAGAGCACATCATTCACTAGATTTAGACTTGACTTTTCTAAACCTAGCCTCTCAATTTCTGTCTTTACTACTCAATTCACTTGAACATTACATTTATTGTCTTGTACACAGAGGGTACAGGCGCAACACAGGGATGAGCATAAAATGTAGTTGAAAGGACAGGGTAAGGATACAAACAGGCATAAAACAAACAGAGAGATTAAGCTGACGTGCCATGAAAATCAAGAGACGAGAAATCAAATCTAGTTGGAAGGATCAGAAAAATCTTCACGAAGGAGGTGCTGTTTGATATGTGAGAGATTTCAGGAAACAAGGTTGGCACAGATTCCACAAGGAGGCCTTTCAGTACGTGGTGCATGGAGAAAGCCTTACCCATCAAAGCCGTTCACCTCACCCCCTCCCAGGAGTTGTTGTTTAGTCGCTCAGTCGTGCCCAACTCTTTGTGACAACATGGACTGCAGCACGCCAGGCTTCCCTGTCCATCACCATCTCCTGGAGTTTGCTCAAACTCATGTCCATCGAGTCAGTGATGCCATCCAGCCATCTCNCAGCCATCTCATCCACTGTCGTCCCCTTCTCCTCTCGCCTTCAATCTTTCCCAGCATCAAGGTCTTTACCAATGAGTCAGTTCTTTGCATCAGGCAGCCAGAGTATTGGAGTTTCAGCCTCAGTATCAGTCCCTCCAATGAATATTCAGGATTGGTTTCCTTTAGGATGGACTGGTTGGATCTCCTTGCAGGGACTCTCAGGAGTCTTCTCCAGCACTCTGAGGAGACCACGCCTCCCCAGCACCATGAACCAGCCTCAGTTGTACCACTTATTGCCTTGAATTTGTTTATCTGTGTATCTCCCTCACTGGGAGGGGACTACTCTGCAGCTGAGCTGCACAAACTTGTCTTTGCAGTGGCTTCTCACTGCAGAACACGGGGCCTTCGGCACGCGGGCTTCAGTAGCTGCAGCTCCCGGGCTCTACAGAACAGGCTCAATAGCTGTGGCCCGCCGGGTTTAGCTGCTCCATGGCACGCGGGATCCTCCAGCACCAGGGGTTGACCCCACGTCTCCTGCACCGCAGACAGACCCCCACCACTGAGCCACCAGGAAAGCTCACATTTATTTATTTTTAAATCAAGTTACATCCAACTGGAGCCTCTCCCTACACTTGCTGAAAAATCTCTCAGTTTTTAGGGTCTGCTTCACCTCTCTTGGACCTTCCGCTTAGAAGGGGGTTTACTTAGCCCTGAGACATCCCTGACCCACGGTTCTCTCAGCACTTCTGTGTTCCTCGCAAGGTCATCGGGAACTTCAGACCCGCATGTAGCACATGAAGGTCATGAGAAACCATGGCCCATCCATCTAGAACCTTCCTCTGTCAAGGCTTTCTAACATGTCCCCCTAGTGTGGAACTTCTCTGAGAGGGGCCTTGTTGGGGGGTTCTTCGGAAAATGTATCTACTCCCTCCCTTGAAGATTAACCTCTAAGGGAGGAGCAGGACAATCACATGTGTATTCCTTCCCTTTTCTCATCTCCTGCCCTTTCTCCCTTCCTCATTTTGTACTTTGCTACCCTGAGGCTCCTATCTCATAGCCTCCTCTTTTTCTGCTAGCACTTGTATTTCCCTTTCTTGGAACAATAATGCCAGGGAAGATACAGAGAAAGACTTTGAGTTACCATGAAGAGTAAATTCATATGGTTATTTCCAAAACCTCATCCCATGTTACACAAATTGATGAATGAATGTGTATATGCTAATGCATGTGTGTGTGTGTGTGTGTGTGTGTGTGTGTGAGATCACTAACTTTTTGAAGATTTTAGAAATTCCAGAGTAACTTTTTCATGTACACTCGAGTATTGGTTTCTATAACATATTCCAGCAAAGCATAAAGTTATAGATATTTTTCTTTGTAAATAGAATATAAGCTTCTCACGCAGAACGCATTGCAATATTCTCTAAGGTAAAAGCCGAGAAATCATTATAGATAACTCAAAAGTGCTCTTCCTTTGAAACACAGCACTTGTGGGCAAATAGGATCGTTTGAAACCTTAGGAAAAGGTGAGGATATTCATCAGTGTGAAAAGACAACCATTTTATTTGGTCTAAAATGAAGTAACATTTTATAAGGCTGAATTTCATTTTCCTGAAAGTTATAATGAAAACAAATGATTGACTCATTTTATGTTTTCTATAACATAAAAATAAAAACCTCCCTGAGTTAGCCTTTTCTGGTTTTGTAATGGAAAGCTTCAGCTGAGAGTAGACTTGCATGTTTTATTTAAAAACAAAAGCAAACAAACAAAAAACATCTTGATAGGGTACTCAGATGTGATTGGAAGCAGAGAGCCAGGAAACACCACTATTTTAGAACTATGAACATTTTATCACGTTCTCCAAATAGAAGCTTAACTTCAACCATGTGATTAGATTGCTTTTGATTTGGGGGAAACAAGGTACTCTGGTGGATTTCGATAAAGTGGTGGTAATCCACTGGTGGTAATAATAAAGCCAAAAAGAATATTATTCAACAATGGGACATTCAAAATAGGAAGCAAACAGCTCTACATAACAATGAAAAAGGTCATCTTCATTCCAAGCCCTAGTACATCTCTGAAGAGGATTATGTTTCCTGGAGGCTAGCTTTGAACTGGAGGTGAGGAGTGGCAGATGAGAGAAACTAGATCTGTCTCTTGTTGGACTCAGAAGACTTTGGGGCGACTGAACTCCAGGCAGGAAGCTCAAGACCAAAGGCACTTTTTGTTCACGGATGCCGAGTGCCCTCTGCCCCATGTTGGTCTGCCATGTCACCTCCCCTGTCCACCCGATTCTGTCCCTATGCCCACATCCCAGCTCCCCCCATAGAAGGATGTGGCCTTCACACTTTAGAGGAAGTCGTAAGAAGTCTCCTGTTCTTTGCTTGTTCTTTATCCGTTGTCATTCCTTTCTGCGTCCATCGTGTGTCGTGAACTGTAAACACCAGAGCAGGATCTTAGCTGAGCCTGGGTGACTCCGTCCTGTCTCCGGGTGGATCCGAAGGCAGCAACAGTGCGGAAAAGCCAGAAGATACAGAGAAAGAACTTGAGTTACCATGAAGAGAACCAGAAGATGATTGGTTGAAGGGATTCGCTAAATGAGAACAAATTGGTAGAACAGATAAGCATTCTTTGGATCAAAAAATACTAGACTTTGAAATATCAAGTGGGATACCAGCTCCAGCTATTCTTTTTTAAATTTTTTTCATTGACGTATAGAGTTGATGTGCAATATTATATGTTACAGGCACACAGTATAGTGATTCATAATTTTTAAAGGTTATACACCCTTTATCATTATTATAAAATATTGGCTATATTCCCTGCGTTGTACAATATATGTCTGTAGTTCATTTTATACCTAATAGCTGGTCCCTCTATAATGCCCCTCCTCCCCTTTCTCTCCCCACGGATAACCACCAGTGTGCTCTCTAAGTCTGTGAGTCTGCTTCTTTGTGCTATAGTCACTTGTTTGCTGTATTTTTTTAAATTCCACACATCTTAATTGCAAAGCAGTGTGATCCTAGAAGCTGGAGAAGCCACATGCATTTGGGTGATATTTAAAATAAGCAGAGGTGCATGCAGCAGATGTGAAATACTAGGAATGCATAGTGCTGGCCTGTGTGATGGGTCCCCTCTCTGCACCTCTCATGTTTCTCTACCAGAGAAGCCACTAGGACCTCTGCTTCTTGGGTCCTAGTCAGCTTATATTGGACAATAAGGAGTCGGGGGGTGAAGAAAACTTGGGGGATTCCGCCATTCAGAATCACAATTTTGCTCTCTTCTGATCTGAATCCTTCTCTTTGAACATTAATACCTCTCAGCAACTTTCATTCACTGTCTATTTCTTTTTTTTTTTTTCTATGCTTCTTTTTGAGGTTTCTCTTTGTCCTCCTACCACTAATTGATCTTCTGCATTCTCAGTCCGAATTGCAAAGGATAGCATCAGATCAACTGAGGCAATTAATCTCTCTGCTATTAAGCCAGACCAGCAGACTACTTGGTATATTGCTGATATATGGTTAGACTAGTCTTCCATCAGGTATCCATGCTTCTCCAGAGCATATAAAGGGTAACCTAGCATCATTTCCGAGAGCAGGAAACCATGGACTAGGGAAATTGGGCACCAGGCTAGTAAAGATCCTTAATGGAACAAATGTACATTCAAGGATATGAGAAAATGACTTTGGTGAAAACATACACACATACAGTAAAATACATTTCTATTAAAGGTCATGAAATCAAAGAAAGCGGTTCAAGTACCTGTCATCACTACTGACCACACTTACGGATGGGGTTAAGCCAACCTGGCAACAAGAAAGTCAAATCTCTTACTGTTCAGGTCAAATTCCTATTATGTTGTTCATTGTTGAGCTTTGTCTTTCTGAAATAAGAAAAACACTGGCCAGTTTTTGTTCTGTTTTTTATAATGAAGCATGCAGTTGTGGCTTTTACTAGTTTCGAAAGAGAAAGCATCCTACATGGAATAGCAAAGCACAGTATGATGGTCCCCTGATAGTCTATATTCCAGGGAGGCTGCCATTTATTTACCCAAGTATTGATAAAAGGCTAAATTTTTATTATGCACAAACCAATTTAAAGTGTTCTTAAAATGAATAAACAAGAAAAGTCATCTCTGCTTGTACAACTACAAAATTATATGGTTTTCAGCAATTTCTGAATGTTTCTTTCAAATTCCCTAGGAACACAGCTATTTTTATATTACCTATGTGTAAGTATCCCCCCCCCACCACCACCCCAGGAATCTGAGGAATAAAATTCAAGGCAAGTTTTGACTTCCTTCTATCCCAGTGTCAGACAATACCCTCAATCAAAATGGCTAACTGGTGAAAGAGGTTCAAAATCAATACTGCAGGGACCTATTTCATCAAGTGCCTGGTTCCCAGCCACTGAATTTCTCCTCTCCTTGCAGCTGGAGCCACTTGACACCTTTGTGTAGACTTGGCCATTTCTCTTCCAGAGGCCTTCGGTGAGAAGGGTTCAAGGACAGCCACACCACACGGGAGAGGCCAGCTTCAAGACACATACTGTTCATCCTTCTCAGAGCTTGTGTCTGGGGCTCCTGCAGGGTTTTCCCAGTTTCTAAAACCTAGAATGAAAAACGGCTTTCTGAAAATCAGCTCTGTGATTTGGAAACAGGCCATGGAACTTTTCAAGGACTTCTCTTCCATTTTTTGATATCAATATGTCTTACTGAGATATCCAGGGCTACTTGCTGTCTTCCAGGTTCTTAATTACAGTCTGATCAATGTCGTAGAGCAGAGTGGCATCCTATGGACTAGAGAGATGGCTAAGCAGCCCAGGAACCAAATCAGGGGCCAGCAAATTATGGCCTGAAGGGAAAATCTGCCCTGCAGCATGCTTCTGTAAAGCTTCTAGCTAAGAGTAGTTTTCACTTTGTTGAGTTGAGTAAAAAAATAAAAAGAGGAAGAAGAACATGCAACAGAAACTTTGTGTGGTCCACAAAGCCTAAAATATTTACTGTTTGGCCCTTTACAGGAAAAGTTAGCCAATCTCTGAACTAAATGACCCCACAGAGCCAGAGAGTTGATGCAGATGGTTGTCCATTGCTCCCCTCTGCTAGTTAAAAAAGAAACTGCATCTATGGTCTCTTGGTTAGTAGCTAAGTTGTGTCTGACTCTTTGCGACCCATGGACTGTAGCCTGCCAGGCTCCTCTGTCCATGGGATTTCCCAGGCAGGAATACTGGAGTGGGTTGCCATTTCCTTCTCCAGGGAATATTCCTGACCTAGGGATCAAACCCATGTCTTCTGCATTGGCAGGCAGATTCTTTACCACCAGGCAAACCCTTGGTCTCTGGTATTTAATTTCAAAAAAGCATTTGCCAACTTGACAATTCCACATCAGGCATCAGGATCTGTGTGCACTGGCTTCAGAAAATCAACCCCATATGGAAAAGCAGCTTTCATTGGAATCATCCTCTCATTAAGTTTCTGATAATCCATTAATATTGTTCTCAAGACCCATCAATCTTCTCACTGGTCAAACAGGAGAGCTTAATGAGGATGCGGGAGGGGGAGTTGGGGAATGTAATAGGAATTATAATCCCCGCCTTACTAGAGGGTTTGATATTAACACTCATCTCTACAACTCCTCCAGGGGTGTGTGGTATTGCTTTAAGTTAACTAACGTGACGCTATCTGAGAACAGAAGCTTCCCCTTGCTCATCTAGAGCCTTCATTCCACAAGTCCAGAAGCCAGCATGTAGTTGTTGATGAGGACCTCTATTCCAACTATACATATGGGAACTGGGACAGTAATCACAGAATGAATCATGGGGAGGTCCCTGCTGACCCACTGTTGCTGCTGCTGCTGCTGCTAAGTCGCTTCAGTCGTGTCCGACCCTGTGCAAACCAAAGACGGCAGCCCACCAGGCTCCCCCGTCCCTAGGATTCTCCAGGCAAGAACACTGGAGCGGGTTGCCATGTCCTTCTCCAATGCATGAAAGTGAAAAGTCAAAGTGAAGTCACTCAGTTGTGTCTGACTCTTAGCGACCCCATGGACCGCAGCCCACCAGGCTCCTCCGTCCATGGGATTTTCCAGGCAAGAGTACTGGAGTGGGGTGCCATTGCCTNATGAACCTCAGCCCACCAGGATCCTCTGTCCATGGGATTTTCCAGGCAAGACTACTGGAGTGGGGTGCCATTGCGTCTCCGGACCCACTGTTGAGGTAAACCCAAGCCAAGTCTCCATGTAGACTCCATAACCTCAGGAAGTCCCCTCTGAGTAGGGGACCACACTGGTATTTCTGGGTGCTGAGGAATTATCATTAGCCACAGCTCATGTCAAACCCCACAGAGATCTGGGTAGTTCCCTTCTCCTGGACACAACCATTTTCTTGACAGATGACTGCAAGAATATGTCAGACTGTCCTTTTTAGTGGAATAGAAAGAAGATGAGCAGTGCTCGTGGCACTGTCACAGAGTACCTGCGTCATGGGCTGTGGGTCTATAAACCAGTAAAGGGTGAGAATTACTCAGGTCACCTAGAATTTTGTTTTGTTTTGGTGTCAGTTTACCCAGACCAAGGAGGATTATAATAGGCCTACACATTTCTTTCAGTCTCAGGCACATCTTGTACCCACCGCTGCCAAACATCAGTGACATTCAAAATCCAAGATCATTGTTCCAGCTCTGCTGCCTGTTATGGTGACCACAGCCATTTTGCCTCCGTCTTTGGTGCCTCGGACTTTGCCTCCTGGGACCCCGTCACCCCCAGAGAAATCAGGGAGCCATTACCCTCAGATGATGGTCACTCTGGCACTTCTCAAGGTATTTCTTTTTAAAAACTTTTATTGGACTATAGCTGTTTTATGATGTTGCGTTCATTTCTTCTGTACAGCAAAATGACTCAATTATATACACACACACAAACTATATATATGTGTGTGTGTATACACACACACACATATTCTTTTTCATATTCTTTTCGATTATGGTTTGTCACAGGATGTTGACTATAGTTCCCTGTGTTATACAGTAGGACCTTGTTGTTTATCCATCATCTGCAGCAACATGAACAGATCTAGAGATTTTCTTACCAAGTGAAGCACATCAGAAAGACAAACATCCTATGACATCACTTATATGTGGAATCTAAGATACAATCCAAATCAACCTATCTACAAAACAAAAGCATACTCACAGACCTAGGGAAGAGACTTGTGGTTGCTGGGGGGAGGTGGGTAGGGAAGGGATGGAATGGGAGTTTCAGATTAACAGATATATATATATATTTCTTGATGAAGGTAGTGCCTCACTGAAGGAATGGTACTTTAGTCTCGCTTGGGGGACATGACTAGATGTAGATGTGTGATTTACACATTGTAAAGATACCCCAATATTTCCTTATCTTTATATTCATTTCTCTACATCATCCCAAGAAATTTCTGGCATCACAGCTTAAGCATTGGCTAGGGCTGTGGGTATGGCTATGAGTATGATAGCTATTGGCTACCATCCCCACATTTCTATCAAATGTGCTGAGCTGCTCAAGTGAGCATATTGAACTCAGAATCTCTGGCAAGTACACCCAATGCAAAATAATCAACCTGATCTAAAATTAAGCTTCTCTCTTCTTGGTCTGACATCCTCAGAAATCACTTCCACACAGATTGCAGGTTTTTGCCATCGCAAATGAGCAAAATCCTGTGATTCTTTCTGTTGTATAAACCTTTCTCTCCAGCTTTGACTGTGTCTGCCATCACACCGGCAGGCTGGGGCTGGATTCTAGCTCAGGCTCTGAAGGCAGTGCTGGGGTATAGGGCTCGGGGAGGGCTGGCATTCCTACCCACTGAACTTGCTTGCGTGAAGACATCACAAAGACTTCTGGCAAGAAAGACGCAGCCTCAGTGAAATGGGAAGCAGGTTTGCTTCTGCTTTCCAGGAATACTTGGTAGGATGTGGGCTTTTCAGGTATTCAGAGTCATAAGATCTACCAAATTCTCTATTTCAGTTTTATTGGTCCCATTCTTTTCCCCAAATGCCTTGTTCTCATGAGACATGAAGTCTGTGAATCCACCCTGCACGTATATGGCTGTTTCTAACTTTTGGCCTTAACTTTTGGGCAGTTCAATAGTTACAAAACAAAGGAAACTCCTGCAGGTAACCATGGAAGTTCTCTGATACTCTGACCATACCTTAAGCAGAACACTTTAAATCTTATTTTATAATTTCCTTCAGGGTAAGTAGATGGGGAATAATAGAAACAGTGGCAGATTTTCTTATCTTGGGCTCCAAAATCACTGCAGATGGTGACTGCAGCCATGAACTTAAAAGATGCTGGCTCTTTAGAAGAAAAGCAATGATGAACCTAGACAGTGTATTAAAAAGCCGAGGAATCACTTTGCCAACAAAGGTCCATAGTCAAAGCTGTGATTTTTCAGGTAGTCATACATGGTTGTGAGAGTTGGACCATAAAGAAGGCTGAGTGCTGGAGAATTGATGCTTTTAAATTGTTGTGCTGGAGAAGACTCTTGAGAGTCCCTTCAAGGAGATCAAACCAGTCAATCCTAAAGGAAATCAACCCTGAATATTCATTGGAAGGACTGATGCTGAAGCTGAAGTTCTAATACTTTGGCCACCTGATGCAAAGAGCTGACTCACTGGAAAAGACCCTGATGCTAGAAATGATTGAAGGCAGGAGAAAGTGGGCAACAGAGGATAAAATGGTTGGATGGCATCATCAACTCAATGGACATGAGTTTGAGCAAACTCTGGGAGACAGTGAAGGACAGGGAAGCCTGGCGTGCTGCAGTCCATGGGGTCACAAAGAGTCAGACATGACTTAGTGACAGAACAACAACTTTACATTCTATGGAACCCATAGAAGAATCCACTACATGTACCCACAACATTCCTTACAGCCCTTTTTTCCCCATAATGACTAGCATCACTTAAGCCACCAAAACCCTGACATTGGTAAGCCTCTTATTCTACAAAACCCCAGGTAATGACTGAAGTTAATACATTACCAGTATGCACCAGTGTCTATCTCATGATACCAGTAGAATCTTAGCTGCCTTAATTTCCAACTGGTGAGCTAACCAACCTAAGAATCTCATTTCTTTGAGAGTCTGTTGCTTACAATCACGATAGCCAGTAATTACCCTGTGAGGGTTCAATTATAGAGAACAAAACCTACTCTAGATTGTGTTAGCAGAAAGGCATTTGTTTTACAGAGTATTAAATGGCTTATAAAATTGTTTATAAACCAAAGGGAATTTAGTCTGATCATTCAGATAAAAAACTCTTAGGTCATAATGTAGAACTGCTGTTGCCCTGGCCATAATCAGGAAGCCTGATGAAGCAAGAAGTCATGATAACAGCTGCTAGCTCAAGATCAAGTCACTTCCACTTCAGTCTACACCAGCAAATAAAGGAGACTCATGTCTCCTTCCCTCCACTCTTATTTCAGTTCTGGATTTTAGTCTTCTGTAAAAGTATATGGTTGGCAGAGAATAAACCACATCCAGAAATGTGGGATATATAGATTTTAGCTCACCAGCCTCCAGAATATAGGAAGCCACACTAGGAAGACGTGGAGTTGGTTCTGAAAAAGCCAGTCTGCA